GGTTGAGGTTGGACTAGATGATCTTCGTAATCTTTTCCAACATTAATGTTTCTATGATTCTATGTGTAACATAACTTTGCAACAGTGTGTGGAAGTCTTCTCTGACATCTTGAAGCTACCGTTTGCTGGACAGGACTGTGGGTTACTTTTGCTGATGGAGTTGCTGTGGCTGGTTCTAAAGGAATCTCCACCAAGTCAAATATTCTGACTCAGTTGTAGAAAACAGAAGCTGTGATAATGTCTATTTTCCGGGTTATAAAGAGGGTTATAAGGGTTAAAAAGTGAAAGGTGTCAAGGAACACTCGAAATCATAGAATTGTAGAATGGCTTGGGTTGGAAGGGACCTCAAAGATCCAACCTCAGTTCCAAAATCAATTAACAGTGATATAATGGGAACAGCCTGCCTTGTCTCACTGCAACAGGCCCTTGAGGCGGTGTGCTCAGCCTGCCTGGAGCCTGGCTGTCTGCAGGTTAGCAGAGGAAACTGCTTTAAGCTTGGATTAAACCCGCACACCTACAAATTACAAGACAACAAAACACATTGGGTGAAATCTTGGCCTTATCACAGTCAAATAGAGCTTGCTGCTGACTTCAGCAGAACACGAATTTTATTCATAAAAAGGAAAAAAGAGATTTTTGAATTCTAAAATCAGAGTTAATCTGTCTGATGTAGGGTGTTGGTTTTTTTTTTTTGTCACAGATACCTGCTTGTTTGCACATGTATTTGCAGGATCTGAAGGCCACAATGTCTTTGTGTCTGCAATCCCTGGCTATAGTAGTACTTGCCAAAGCACACCTGGAACACTCATGCATTTGTAACTTTCATTTCTTGTTTTTATGGTCCAGCAACATTGCTCAGGCCTGTTCAGATGAGTTGGCAATTAGTAACATAAATATAACTCGTCTGACTTGATTTGTTCTTCCCACACACATTCCGTCTGTCTCTCTGCGGTGAACCATTTGTAGAGAGAAGAGTAGCAAGGGAGCCTGCTCTGATGGGATGGATGTCACAAAGGTGCTCAGTCCTTACTATGAAATCTCTTCTTACTATGAAATCTCATACATCATGGGAGCAACAGTACTGTGCAGCCACCCTTGTGAGCACTCTCACCTGCACTGATCTCTCCTGGAGCATATTCTTGGTCACAGCCCTCCTCTGTAAGAGGCAGTGGCTGAATGTTCCTGTCCACAAATAGTGAATGACAAACCAAGGAATGCACTTCGTTTGATTCCTGCACTGCCTGCAAATAGCTCGGTGAGAAAGACTGGAAGAAAAAGTCCATCTCAGGACATTTAAAGATACAAGAGGTCAGCAGCATGGGGAGGTTTTCTCCTCCAGCCCCGTTTCCAATGATGCCATTCCATTCACTTATTCACTGGGCTGTCACATTGGCTGTGGCAGTGCTTTGACAACACTGTATTTTGTGGCATTTGTTCAGTTTGTTCATGGCCTATGTAGAACCTCAGGTAGTGCACAGGGAAGAAATGTGATTATTCTGATTGCAGCATGAGCCAAAGCTACGGCTCCTGTTCCCAGAAGGACCTATGAGGTGCTTAGTGCTTGGGTGCGTGTTACTGTCACAGTGATTCTAAACCTGTTTGGTAAACCAGCCCATGCACTGACAGTGGCTGCTCCCATGGCTAGCAAAGCTGAGTGAGAAATTCAGCTAACTGATCCTGCAAGATAATTGCCTTAATTGCATTTAACGCTTGAGGAAAAAGTAGGAAGCATCACTTTGAGATTAGAACATCGAGCCACATTTAGGAAAGAAAGCCAAGTTTATGTGAAAGAGCGTTTATGAAGCAGCCTGCTTGTGTCTGTGTGCCATTGCTTCACAGAGATCAGGCCTGCAGTCTCTTTAAACCTCCAAAAAACAGAGCAGTTATCTATGATCCTTATGGGTCCCTTCCAAATCTGCATATTCCATGACTCTATAATGATGTCTTTCTCTTCAGAATGGTGACAGAGCAGAGCAGTTGCTGCAGGGTCATTTTTAACTCAGTCCTAAGTTACTGTATTTGTGAGTTTTGACTAATGAGGGAAAGTATGGTGAAACCAGAGGCCTTAAGAAAATTAATTCTCTTAGATCTCCATGTTTTCTTGCAAACTGAGTTGCAAAAATTTCTTGGGCCAAGAATCAAAGACTTCTCAGTTTATTAGCAAAGAATCATCGAGTCACAGAATCATTAAGGTTGGAAAAGGCCTCTAAGACTGTCTGGTCCAACTGCCAACCCATCACCACCATGCCCACAAACCATGTCCCATGTCCCTCAGTGCCACAAAAGCATCCTTCCTTTGGGTGCTGCATGCTGTCCCCTTTCCTGTGCTCCCCCTCAGCAGCCCTCAATACCTGGACAGCTACTCTCAAGTGTAAGTAATACTGATCTTCATGTATCAATTATGGAATTCTTTATGACTCATCCTTGCTGAAGAGAACTGAAGGAAGAAAAGCTTTGGAATGGCTATTAGCTTACTAAAGGAAAGCCATTTCGAAATTATTTAAAAATTGCAGTGAGTATGCAACTAAACTGAGATTTTAATTACATTTTAAATTAATGGAACAGCTATTGATTATGTGATCAAGTATGTGCTGTAGCCAGCCCTGACAAATCAGCATTGTTACAAGAGATCATTAAAGAAGTTGTTAAAATTCTAACTGAAGTAGAACTGCTGTGGATAAAGGGTACAGAAGTGCTGAGAAGGAGAAGACAATGAAATGCATGAGAAGTACATGTGGCTCCAAAAAGTTTGATTGCTGACAGCTTGATGTGTTATTTTTATTCGTGAAACAAAATGAAGACAAAAACTGAGCAATCTTTTAATACGTTAAGAAGTCTGCAAAGTGCTGCTGATCCAGTTCCTGCCTTGGGGTGCCACCTGCACTGCTGGCAATGCATCGCTGCAGTGCTGTCTAGGTAGGGGAGATTTAGGCTAGATATTAGGAATAAATTCTTTACTCAGAGGGTGGTGAGGCCCTGGTACAGCTGTCCAGAGAAGCTGTGGTGCCCCATCCCTGGAGGCACTCAAGGCCTGGCTGGATGGGACCATGGGCAGCCTGGTCCTGTTGGTTGGCAGCCCTGCCCATAGCAGGGAGTTGGGGCTGGGTGGGCTTTAAGGTCCCTTCCAACCCATTTTGTGATTCTATGGTGATAATGGCATGAGGCACACTGCAACACAGGCAAACTCAATCCTAAAATTCCATAGGACTAAGTCATTAATTGAAGTAGAGCTTTTCAGAATTAAAAGAAAAAGAAAACAAAAAACTGATATAAGGTTCTATAATTGAGCGTGCTTTGAATGGTTGATGTGTAATGCACAAAAGACAAGCTGTTAAAAGAACATGGAGGTGGTACAGATTTCAGCACCTAAGCTTTAGGATTTATTAGAGCTAGAGATACCAGCAGACTTTATTTGACATCTTAACTCCATGAAGCATGATCCAGGTTTCAGTGACTGTTCTGCTATGACCTCTTCTCCTTCAAGTGTGTGGGATAAATGGGGGGAATGAGCATGAGGGGTACCTCAGAGTTGGTTGGAAGTGTTTAGCAGAGGCTCGGAGCTCTCCCTTGGGAGGAACAGCAGTGTCTTGTGGTTGGAGCACTTCCCTCTCTCAGCAGCCATACTGTTACCGTTTTTGTCTTTGTCTGAAATTCAGAACTCAGGTTACAAAATGTCTTTTGCAGCTATGGGATGTGAATTAAAGGAGAATGGATTACTGAAATATAATGGATTGCTGAAATATAAATCAAAGGCTTCAGAAATGACCTCAGGAGAGTAAAAATGCCCAATAACATGTAATCAGAACTTACTAATGATTTATACTTAGGTAATGAGGTCACTGTTTTTTTTCCCCAACCCACAGGATAGATTTTAGTGTACTACAGACAGATCCCTATTCCTGCTAACACAGGATGTTCTGATTACAGTTGTAGCGTCTGAGAATCACTGCTGATAAATGGTGGGGGTGGCAGCTCTAAATACAGCTTCTCATGTAATTTAAAAGAGAGACATGTTGCTTGATCAGTGGTAAATAGGACCAGCCATGGCATGCTAAAGCTTAAAAGTTCTTGCCAGATTTGGGGATTAGAAGTTGTTTCAGGCATTAACTCCTCCAGTATCAAAATAATCAGCTGCTCTGATCCTCTCCTTTTCCTTTCTGTTTGGCCGTTGCAAGCAGGAACTGATATGCAACACTTTCCTTTCCACCCCCCTCCCCTGGTTTTGTGATAGGACTGCCGCTTCAGCAAGCTGTTAGGGGTCCAGTGTCTGTGCCACAGTGCTGGGCAGGTTAAAGCTGTGTCCCCATGGCCTTCCCATTCATTCTGCCATTGGGTCAGGGAATGTGCAGCTGCCTGTAGTGTGTGGCTGTGCAGTGTAAGGCTGGAGACCTCACAAACCAGCTGTTACAGATGAGCGAGAGAAAGCAGTCACAGCAAATTCAGCTGTGATCAGGATGCTCTTGATACTGAAGGACATACAGCCTGGGTCATTCATTGTGTGCTCTGTAGGAGACAGCCCTGTGCAGGCAATATTCCTTATGAACGGGGAGCAGCAAGAAACAACTGAAATGCAGTTGTTACCACTGCAGCGACTTTCAACCAGAGAAAACCCCACGTGTCCTGATGTTAAGACTGGTACAGGCTTGGTTGGTTTTTCTTAGGGCCCCCCTGGAATTCAGAATCAATGGGGTTTGTATTTGCAGTGGTCCTAAGGATGAAATCAGGGTTGGCAGACTGTGGTGTGTGAACTCACACACATATACAGGCGCTCAGAAAAAGAACGGATTTTGTTAATTAAGCTGAGACATTTTAGACAGCCTGTGCCTAAACTTCAGCCCTGTTTGGTAAAAGGACTTTTCTCTTGGGTCTCTTTAATGTCACATTCCATTTATAAGGGTAACAAATGCTGTAACTTGTTTCCCTCTTCCCTATCCCACAGAAAATGACAGAGAGGAATTTCTTTCTATGCCTTTGATAAGCTTTCTTTCTTTTTGTTCCAGATAACTTCAAACGAGAAGTGCTTGGAGAGCCTGAAGAGTGATGGCGATGCTCTGCTCTGTGCTCTGCAGAGCCTGGCCCAGCCTGCCAGGTGCGTCCCCTCGGGCTTCGGGGCTTTCAGGGCTTTCAGGATGGGAGCTCTCCGCCTCCTGTCTGCCGTGACTTCTTCCAGCATCGCCTCCTGCAGTAGAGGCCCCTCAGGTTTCCACCCTTGGCCCCCTCCATCAGAGCTCTGTGGCGGATCTGTGGCCCGCTTTGATCCCAGCTGTGGCTGGCCACAGTCAGCTGCACCGCCAGCCTGCGCTGGTGCACATCTGTCATGTTAAACTTGGGGTTTTTTTTATTTTATTTCAAACAATCAGCCTCTTTTATAACCGGATACTGGTCCGTGTTTCTTGGCATAGTGGGCGAGATGCACAATGTGGTTGTTGTGCCCTGTTTTAAAGTAACCAAACTGTGTGGTATGCTTGCAAGCTGATTTTTTTTTCTTCTAAATATGCAGCTGAAGAACAGGGGTGCTTTTGTTTGCAAATACCTGTGGCTTCCCAGCAAAGGCATGAGGCTGTGGGCACTGCCAGAGCTTCCTCTGTAGGAACAGAGGTGCTGCTCCCAGCAGCTTGGCCAGACCTCAGCTCCTCTCCCTTGGACTTTCCCTCACCTAATCCTCCCCTTGGATGTATAAATGAATGAATTGCTGTTCTCTGCACCCCAACTGCAGGCCGTTAGGCTCCATTTTGCTCCTGGTGAAAATAAATTAGAGATGGTATTTTATAGATCAATTTTTGAAACACTCAGACTGTTCGTGCAGTGCTCTGTGCTCCCAAACACAGGCGGTGGTCTGGGATGACTCCTTGATGTCACCCTGTGATGGGAGCAGGGATGTGAATAGAGAGGAAATGGTCAGGAAGTGGCGAGTTTGAGGATCTGTGTGCTAGGACACGCCAAGCCCATCCTGAACAGCTGCTGACTCACATTTTTTGTATGACATGGTAAATTATCCAACTAGCTAAGGGAGATGCTGGCACTGCCACCAAAGATGACACTGATGTGATGGTGGGAAAAGAAGATTTTTTCTTGTTTTAGAATGTTTTCAATCTCTTTTACTGTATTTCAGTGTTAAATGCACTGCACAGCCATCCAGCAGCCAGCTCTGGGTCTGCCTTTCTGATCTCCTCTAATTGTTATCTGCACAATTCTGTACTCAGAAAACCACATGCTACAGAGTCCAAAATAAGCATCGGCCTCTCGTTTGACTCAAGGTGCTCAGGAGACCAAATCACAGGTCAGGCTCCTCTGCTTGCAGCAGTGACAGGAAGCTCCCAGGAGCTCATGGATTACATTTTTCCTCCTCCCATTCTTTAAGGAACGCACATCTTTGTCCATTCACCTGCTGAGGAGCCTGGGAGAGATCTAGCCTGGATCTCAAGCATGGACAAATGGCCTACAGGGTAGACAGGAAAAGGCTGGGATTAGCATGCTCTATCAACAGTAACCAAGTGGTCTTTCCATATATGGACATTATGGACATTCTGCCATCTCCTCAAACTCCCTGTCCTGTGCCATCTTCCCTAGAATATCCCTTGTCACCTACTCATTTCAGCCTCCCCTTCTCACCTGTGCTTTGAACCCTGCTAAGAAGCCTTTCCAAACTTCATTGCTGAATTGTAAACACGAGCAGCCTGAACTCCCAGGCCCTGCCACCCACATACCATCAGTAGGTCGCAGTGGGTGAGGCGTGTTTTTGCTTCGCTTGTTTTTCACAGACCGGTTTCTCCTCTTTCAGTGCAGCAGAAGGAAGACAACAACCAAGCAGTGCCACTGCTGGCAGGAACACGGCTGGGCAACAAGCTGCTCTCCGTGCTCTCCTGCTGCCTTGTAGCAGCTGCCTCTTGCCAAACTCTCTGTTACGTATTCTTGGCTAGTCAGAACAAGCAGCCTTGGGGTTGGTATGCTTAGTAGTGAGGTGGAATTCAATCTGAACTTCAAAATGTGGGGTCTTAGCAATGCATTTCTCAGTTGCAAACAACGTGTGCTTGTTTCAAGTAACTGAATGTTCTGGTTTAAACCGATGCTCGTTAAGAAATTTGTTTACAATGTGGACTGATCTTTGGGATTTCATGGGCAGTTTTGTGTTCCCCAGAAGATGGAGTGTCAGTAGGTTATTTGTCATTAGCAGCAACAAGGGAAGCTGCAAGCTGGCCTACTGCTGTACTTCCTGAGTTAATAATGAAGGATGGCAGCCTATTAAAAAAAAAAACCAAACAACAACAAAAAACCCTGCTTGTTTCTGCATGGGAGAAAGCAGAAGTGGAGTCATTTTCCTGTCAAGCTGTGTGTACATGTGTGGGATTCATGGGGACATGGTAGATTTTATCTTCTTGTTCACAGAGAAGATTGAGCAAGGCAGCAGTTACTGTGAATTTAAACTGGAATTCATTTTTACACAAGATCTGCTGCAGGATAAAATCACTAGTTGTGTGTCCTTGCTCAACAGGAAAATGGGGTAAAGTTACTCAATGGGTGATGCTGAGAATTTTCCAGCATAGATAATTGCGAATTGGGGATTTAAACAAAAAGTTTTCCCTTGAGAGTATTTAACAGCTGTCACTATGTTTAATTCCTAGCTCTCACGCTGATGTTGCTGTTGCCTCCCTGGCATCTGAAATTCTGAGAACAGTGGCACATGAAAATCCAAAGCTGACCAAGTGAACTACTTTTGACCAGCCCATTGAAAAGCACAGCTGTGTGTGATGCTCAACACTGTCCTGAATCAACATCTTCACACAGTCCTAACTCAGCGAGCCAGCGAGTCACTGCTGTGTCTGAGCACAGGCATGGTTTTGTCTTCTTCAGAAGGAACAGCTTTCTTTTTTCAAGCCCCTTATGGGGCTTCTTGATTACTATTTTACCTCGCTGGCAGTGCGTGATGTAGTGTGAGTACTTGACAACTATAGAGTTTGAGAAGAGTAGATAAAATAAATAGTTTAGTTGCTTCACAGTATGGGCATAAAGTGTTTCACTGTTCTAAGGTGTGTTAGAAATGTGACACTGGTGTGTTAAAGCAACTGCATGTTGCTGCCACACCTAGAAGGCAGGGACTTTCCTGAGTTGCTGATACCAGTCCACCTTTGGACAGCCCTTTCTCTAAGTGGGGAGGCAAGCCAACAACACAAGGTAAACAGACTTCACCTTGTACTTTCTACTGGAATTGCTTTCTTACAAAACCTTTACTATCACTGTATCTATCCCTTTTTAAAGCTTGACAGCTGAAATTAGAGCTGGAGGTTTCAGAAAGGAAGAAAATCTTGCACATTATTTGGTGAAATGTTTTATAATAACCTTCTAGTGCACATGTTGCTGGGAGGAGTGAAACTGGGTTACTCAATGAGATGTCACCATAGCTGCAGTTCATCTGCTCTGTAAGCAGAGGAAAGCACTTCTGTAGTTTGCTTCAGCTCTCATCTCCTTGGGATCCTACCATGAGCTGTGATCCTTTACAGCTTTTTCCCCTTGTGATCTTCTGCGGCAAGCTGCTGCTCTGAGGCAGGATGAGCACTCTGGGCAGAGGCTGGTGACAGCTGCAGAGTGCAGATGTGTGCAGTCTATAAATTAGCCAGCAGTTAAGAACAGCATTACCCACTTCCAGCTGCACAGGTGCTGCCTCTAGAGAAAACAAGCTGCATGCAGGTCCTATCTCAAGTGGGAACTGAGGGCTGAGTACACCTGAAAATGAGTTAAAGCTAGTGGAGCAGATGAGAATTTTTAAGTGAAGGACTTTCTCCCCCTCGTACTGACAGTATGCTTCTGACATGTGTTGCTTCATATTTTTCAATTGATTTTTTGACCACAGGACAGTATGTGCCTTGCAGGCCAGGCACTAAGTGTAGCTGCCTCGCTGAGGAAGCTGCTGCAGCAAAGCAGCAGCAGTTCAAGGGAAAAAACATTGCAGGAGGAAGCCTCTGTGGTTATAGCTCTGAGTTCTGAAGGACAGAATAGTCCTCAGTGGGATGGTTTCTGCCTTTGAAGTAGTGAAAGTGTTGTGCAATTTGAGAACAGGTTTTGGAAAACCTGCCAACACAGAACTATACAGTCTGAAATAATTTGACACAGAGTGAATTAAAAGTTTACTTTAATTTTGAACCATTTTATAACTGCATTTTTCTCATGAAGCATCTGTATCACAGCAGGCTACAATAACTTTGGGATAAAAGGCAACTGGTAAACTGTCCAATACAAGGTTCCAAATAAACAGTTCTTACTGGCCCCTACCCAGACATATCCCAGATAAAGTTTTTGATCAAAAACATGAAATAGATCCACCTGCTTATTTTAAGCATATTAAAAAGGAAACTAATTGGACCATTTCTATTTGTCTAGTTTTTTTATACAAAAAGGCTACACAATGTTACACTTTATTCAGAATACAGTTAGAGCGATTATGAATTAGTGTTCTACACCTTTACTCAATCCTTAAAAATTAGAAACTGCTGTAGCATATTCACTATAACTTAATACTACGAGAGACTTAAAAAAAAAAAAAACCTAACAACAATTACTGCGAAAAGAAAGGCTACTTTCAAAGCAAGCAAAGGTCAGTACCATTACAGAGATTTAAAAAAAATAATAAATTTTTAACAAGCAAGGCTAGGGTTTGATAAATTCCATCTTGCAATTCATTCTTGTGCATTCCTCGTTTCTTGAATCACTCCCAAAATCCATTTGTATTATTACTCCTCGACCAAAAAGGACCAGAACAAAAAGTTTACTTCAATTGTTCCCATAGGAAACTCAGCTTGGTTAGTGTGTCAGGCACTTTCTGAGATACTAGCCCACCCCTCGAGCCCTCTCAGCAACTCTACAGGCCAATCAATGCAAGTTCATTCAGATGATACAGCTGCAAAAAAGAAAAAAAAGATAAAAATGTCAGTGTTCCTTAGTAAACAGTATTTTAACATAAAGACTGCATGAAGCTGGTGATGCACAAGACATTACAGTTAATTACTTCCACACTTCACGGCAGAAGTCAGTTTGGATTGTAGGAGCGTACTGATTGATCGTGTGTCTCCAGAGCTTTTTTTTTTCAGTATTCTGTCACACTGGGACCCATTTAAGCCATTCCCTCCCTGCCAACCAAGTCCTGAGTCCAGTAATTTGTTTCTCTCTTTTTGTTTTGTTTTTAAATTCAAGATTGGAGCTTCTTACCTAAAGGATGATTTACAGGTCAGTATCGAACCAGGCCAACTGATTACTGTCACCTGGAGGCAGCCCATCCATAAGGTCCTGGGCATGGCCAAGATCTGGCAGACCATCAACTGGGTAGTCAGCACCAGGGTGGTGGCCACCCATTTCATGTTCCATCATAGGGTCCATACCCAAGGCATCCTGACCGTATCCGCCAGAGTGGAAAGAACGGTAGCTAGGATCTAAGAAAGTTAAAGGTGGCAGAGGGAAAAAGAGCATAATGTTAACAGATGTTAGACGCATCAGAAGCTGCAAGTATCAGTGTGTGAGAAGATCGTTGTAGCCATCTAATTGTTTTTCTAGTTCAGCCAAGTTCAAAACGATCTGCTGCCTGCCCTTAATGACTATTCCATCGTTTGAAACAGCCTTCCAGTGTGATTCTGCAGACAAAGCACACTGCAGTCAGAAGCACGAGCAGATTCCAGCCAAGCCATTAGTCTGCACAATCAACAGTACTAAAATTCAACAATACTACAGCAAAACCAGGCTACAAGACTGCAGACTTTCTTCTGAAAGACTAGTCAAAAATAGCTCAGAACCCGTAGGGATAGGCTTGAGTTTAAGTCTACAGACACTTAAAGACTAATATATACAATACCAACATTTGTTTTAAAGAAGAACTGCACTTTTGGAATTGTCAAGTCCATCTGTAAAGGATTTAAAAGATTTCTGGAAACAGTAGCTCAGTGGGAGATTCTCTTGCAAGACTCAGACAAGCAACACCAATTTTGCACATTCATATGGCTCCCATTTCAGTGCAGCCAGAGGTGTTGCAGAAACTGCTTATTTGAACTGGCAGTTTCCCATCTGCCTGTCAGTTTGCAGTATCTTGCTGAAGAGTAATTCATTCTTAAGTCATTTGCAGTTCTCCTTTACAGTCAGTGACTTGACTTTATTCAGCTTAAGCTCAGTCAAGGGGAATGGAACAGACATACCATCTGGGCGGTATCCAAGAGGCTCTCCCTGGGCACCAATGTCAAGTCCAAGATCCGCTGTCTAGATGTGCACAGAAAGTTACAGAACAGTTTTAATGTCAGGTCTTAGGGCCAACACTAGTAATTGAATTTAAGAAATTCTAAAGCTTGCCACAAATCCTTTTTTAGCAACTCTTCTGCACTGCATACAGCAGTACTATACTTCTGTAAAAGTGAAATGTCTTTTTTATCTAAGCATCTGCACCCACTAACAGCCCTATTTAGATACAGGAGCCATAACTCACTGGAAAGAGGATTCTGTTTGGGAACAAGTAGGAAGCAGGAGGTCTAGGAGTACTGCTATGGTACACCCACCCAACCTCTGTGAGTCAGCTGGATAGAGATTCCTGAGCTAGCAACAGAGCATTTAGTTCCCAGTGCACTTCCCCTGGTTTGTCAAATCACTGAACTGCATGTCTGTAGTGTAATGAAACAACCTGGATTTCAAAGAGATATTCCATTTTTGCTTTGTTTTCTCACGTTACTATGTTAGATGGATGCAGACTTTAGGAAATCAGAAATGGGCACTGCAATACTACAAATCAAAGGCTACTACCTATTATTAATTAAGTCAAGATAAAACTCCTGAACCTTAAGGATCTGGGCGAAGACAGACTTAGTGAAACATTCCCCAGTGGCAGTTTTCAGTCTCAATTCACTGTGCAGTGACATGCACTTTAAGCATGAAAAAACTTCGTGTGACAGCTTGCAAATACTTCCAAGTCTGAGAGCTCAATTCTCAATTAAGGAGAATACAAGCGACATATCCACACCAAGCTTCTTAGTCCTACAGAGTTTGCTAAATAAGAGTTCTTACAGAATAATGTTATGGTTATGCTTGTATTCTATCATTCTTTCCTCAGCATTTGCCACCAGAGTTCATCAGGTTTGGACAATCTGCAAAAATTGGCTGAAATTCCTAGGGGTTACTGCCGAGCTGTCTTTTGAAATCAGAAGCAGCACAAAGACCTACAAGAATTCTTATACACAGCTTTACAAGAGCAAAATGAGATTTACAGACGTTAGACTCTTCCTATCCAAAAAGAAAGCACCAAAGTAGCAGCTCAAAACTGCTCATTCTTCATTCTATTTGAGCAAGCCTGTAGTTCTTAGAAGGGTTTCTTGCCCTATGCAGTGGATTCCCAAGACTGTCACTATCACCTGTTTATGTATAAATTGTTGCCCTAGAACAACAGTATACACTTGAAGCTTCCATAATTTTCTGCAAATCTATGAGCATGTGTTCACTAAACCTGAACATGCAGAGAGAGTAACGAAGCTACAGGCATGTGTAAAACTGAACCCGTTATCACTGATGGCATCTACAGTTCACTACTGAAAGGAGGGGGGACTTGAAAGTGAAGTCTGCCCAAGGTGCCATTCATACAGGGAACAACTCACCTCATTCCAAGCCATTGGCTCAGTCCGGAACAGAGAACTTGTCAGTTCAACTGAAAGCCGCTTCTTGTAGTCTTGTGGTTTGTCCTCAGACATTCTGAACAGCACTGCAGCTGCATATGTTGCTATTAAAAGAAGTGAATTTAGTCAACATCAATTCTTCTAGCAACTTTTCTAACTTAAAGTATGAAACTTTTTTTTTTTTAAGTTCACTTACCAACACCCTCATTCCTAGAATGAAGCAGTTCTGTTAAAGGGGCAGTTGCACCTTCAGCTTCAATTGCTTCAGCTGCTTCCTTGTCTTGAGCAAGTTCACAAAGTACACCTGCAGCTACTCTCTGGATATTCTCAATGGGGGAGTACAACAACTGCAATCAAAATAGAAGGGTTTCTTTTAACTCTCTGTTTGAAAAGTACAATGCAATTTAGCAGTTCTACCAACAAAGCATTGGAGCAGCTATACTAGTTTTTCTAGTATGTACTACAGCATTTTCTTGAGCTCCCGCTTACCTGCACAAATAGTGGAATGGTATTTAGACCCCTGATTACAATTCGATTGTGAACATCACGTGCAAGAATATGCAGGGCTCCAGTGCAGCCCTCAACGATTTCCTCCATGCGTACACCCTCCTAAGTCAGGGAAAGAAAAGGCATTTCAGCTGAGATCTTGAACGCTATCTTCTAAAACAACTGTCAACAAGCTGATCATTATCAAAGAATCAGTCAAACTCGTCTCCTGCACACACATCCCTCCCCCAGCAGGCCTCAGTCCCCACTGCCTATTGCTGGCCTTCAAGCTTAACATCCCTGCTAAGACCTGGCCTAGTTTATCCAGTTAAATTCAGTGAGTGAAGCATTTCAGTGGAACATCTCCCCATGTTCTCATTTTTTTCCCCAGCTCATTATAAACTTGATGTCTGACAACACTGTTGTTATTTTCCCAAACTGCATTAGCTTGGCCATTTACTAAGTCTGAAAGTGCTAATCAGTGATTAAGAGGCCCTGACTTTTCAAGTATTAACTACAGTCCTATACTAGTAGGTATTGCTTCCATTTGCCTATGCTAATGTAACTTCCCCTTTGTCAGCATGTTTAATAGGGGAAGGGAAAAATCAAGACTGATCCTGCCACACTGACCTGGTATGTTAATTATGGAGCATGTACAATTTCTCTGTACTTGTACAGCTCTAAGCATGAAAATATGCATTAAGCTGTGACAACATTCCAAAACTCATAGTTCCAACAAGGAAGGAACTTCCTACTCTCTTTGCCAGGGTAGGCAAAACCAGTATTTCTACAATCTGTAGCATTCAGAAACAGTTCAGATCTGCCAAGGCAGAACGATCAGCATACCAACAGAGTAATACAAACCAGAGCAAATGGTAAGAAAATAGCTATTTAGGTAACTGTAGTTCCTGGTGGCCACTTACCACAAACTGCTGTTGCGTTCCACCCATGGAAGTACGTCGTTGGGTATCTTGATGTGCTCTAACCAGCAGCTGAACTAGCCGTGGGATAGCACCCTGTTCACGCAGCGGGGCATGGTTTGCAGGGCAGAGCGCGAGATTGCGAATCAACCCAACAGTAGCCTGCAGTTCAGAAAGGAGGTGGAGAATAAGAAAACATAAGGGGTGTGTTTGCTATTTAGCACTGCGTTTGTTTGTTATTAAATCAGATGGTCACAAATAGTTGGATCTCAGTAAGAGACAACTTGAAAGTTCATTCGAGCTAGCCTTTCCATCAGGCAAGTTACATTCTCCAATGCCTTGGAAACACAGTATTTTTCTCAGTTAATGTTACATTAAAAAGGCACTGGTTTTCAGCACTGACAGACATCATCCATTGTTTATTTACCTTGATCAAAGGCCAGTGTGAGGGTGGGTGCAACAGTTTAACCACCACTGGCAGTCCATAATGGAGACGTACTG